ATTGCACACAGTATTACACCACAAAGCAGCACAGTGAAATGCAGCCACTTGTCCTTGGAGAAGTTTGGAACACGGTGACCCCTTGGTTGCAAACCTGACTGCAAATTAACACCGTTAATTCAGGAGACTGCATATTTATGCCGCACACTTACACAGCTGAAAGCACACATGTAATCCTCTAATTTGCACGCTTCGGTTCCACGTGATGCACATTTTCTTCCACTCAGGGACAGTTTAGTGGGTCCAGAACTGGCTCATGCACTTCTGCGACTTCTACTTTGAATGAGGGCGAAGAGATGGAAGAAACAGAGACAGAAGAAGAAAGACGACAAAGCAAGAAGAGAATGAGGAAATGAGAGAGACAGTGATACAGCACTGGAGAGAAAAAGAAAGGTGGCAACACGGATGTCAGAAACTGAGAGAGAGAGAGAAACACAATGGCGGACAAATGAACAAGTGAGCGAGGACGGAGGAGGAGGTGTGCTGAGAGGGAAAGATGTTGGCGGTGCGCAGATTTCTCCTCCATTACATTTTGAAAAGAGAGAAACAAGGGATGCACGGCGGAGATAAGACGAAGTTGATTAAAGAGGCACAGCCAAAGAAAAGAGGCCCTGTATTTAGCATTCTCCTGGCACCGTGGAGGCTTATTTTCATGCCCTAGTTTGTCAAAATGAGAGGGAGCCAGAGGGTAACGGCGGAGGAGATACAGGCAGCGAGCACACAGAGATAGTCATGTTGCGTGATTGAGACAGAGCGAAGGAACAAATGCAAGAAAGAAAAAAAAAAGGCGGACCGAGGCAGAGATAGCGAGAACGAGAGAGCACTTCGTCTAATTATCAAACCCTCGCCATCACGTCTCCGCCACCCCACGCTTCAAGGGACCGAGTGTGGAATCACATTGTTACGCACAGATGTTGACAATTACATAAGAAAAGACCCTAAAATAAGAGAAATGTTCTTTTTTTTGCCTCTGTGGCTCCTCATTCATGACGACTGTATTGAACATTTTGAACCAGCGATATTGCTCGGCGAGGAGGTTCGTCACGAGAAAGGAGCTCCGTGTGTGGTCGTCACCCTGATTTCATTAGACTGGCAGGCACACAGGATTTGCCCCTATGGCTTCACATTAACCATATTATATTTAGCCTTTAACACTCCAACTGCTGGCTTTTTGAACTGTCATTTTTCTCTTAATTTCTCTGTATTTCATGTCCCTTAAGTTATATTGAAGCTAACCTAATTTGAATTTTTGTAACCACTTTGAGAGGCACAGACAAATCCTGGTGGCAGAGAACATTAATATTTAATACTGAGGACATGCAGTTAAAGCTTGTCACATTTTTGTGTGGCCAAAGTAAGGGATTGATGGTGAACTTGGATTAAAAAACTGAATCCTGAATCACAAGGTGGTATGTTCTTTCCGTGCTGAATAGGGAATAGGGCTGATGATATTACATTTGTTTTATTGTCTACAAAACTTACAATTGATCCTATTAACAAGCTGCCAGAATCTGATACAGCTGATTTCTTGGTGCTACAGGAGTCCAGTCTGACCCCTTAGGAGGAGGCCTTTTACGTTAGCTGTCAATATGTGTTTGGTTAAATGTTTTGTCAGTGCATTGTCTTTCTTTTTGGCTTATGTGACTAAACGTTGCATACTGTAACTTGACAGTAGCATTTTGACGTTGTTTGTTACTTCTTAGTTTGATAGACACAGAACAATTGGTGAATGTCAGAAAAAGACGGCGTGAGTCTGTGGCCAGATGTTCTCTTCTGGTGTTGCCTTTGTTTTCAGGCAATGAGAGGTTTGCTTTCCAACCTGTGGGAAATGTTGTGAAAGAGTGTATTTTAAGCCAAACCACAATCTTTTCCTAAACCTAACCGAGTAGTTTTGGTGCCAAGATGTGCCAAACATAACAAGATGTGAGTCATACAATAAAATAAAAGTAGGTGTTTGTTAGGAGACAGGTTACAATAATGAAGGGATCTTTATTGGGGACAGGAGTGAGGACACAGAGGAAGCAGGAAGGGGAAGTGAAGGCACATGCAGGTCTTCATGAGGAAGGTGAAGGGGGAGAAGGTGATCCAGGGATTCCAGTGAGGGAATCCGTGCTCCAGGGATATGGTGCTGGTGAGGAGTGAATCTGTAATGGGGGACCGTAGGGCTGCTGCTGGTAGCTGACTCGTGAAGGCTGGGCTGGGGAAGACGTCAAGCTGAGAAGACTCTGAAGGGAATGACGAGAAGTGAGGGTTAGCACGAGGCAAACACACAAAGCACGAGAACTCGAGATCGCTATCGTGGCCGATGTACCGCTCAGGGGAGAGTTAATCATCTGACACTGAAACACGGGGAGAAGCCGGCTTAAGAGCAGAGCTGATTGCCGATGAGGGACAGGTATGGCGGAGAATGAGCGAGCCCTCCTCAGCCTTGGCCCCGCCCAGCCTGAAACAACAATCACACACAGCAGCCGAGCAAACCCAGGAAGTAGTTTCACAAAATAAGAGTTCAAACCTCGAACCCCAACAGTGCTAGAGTAATGGGCCAACACGGGACAAACCTCAGTCAAACTCTGGAATACTATCAGCGCCAAATCCCGAATACAGGTGTCAGTGCCACCAAAGGAAACGTTGTGCATATCTCTAAGATGTTATTGTCTTTGACAGAATGATGCTCTGGGAATGAGAACAGGTTGTCTATATCCCTCTATGTCGTCCAGGAACCATTACGGTCCCTCTCAGGTCCCTGATTTAACCCCTAAAACTCATCTCCATGTATCAAAGCTACATATTTACATTTGTTTTTACCATTAAAATAATCCTTTCCTGCTTTAAAATGGCTTTGATATACGTCTGCACTGTTCCTCGTGTAGCTCGAGCACACCAGCTCACCTCCAACTCTACTAAAACACTGTAAAACTAATTCAGCCAGATGTTTTTGAGCCACAAACTGATTCTGAAGAAGAATATTGATGTGAAACGTTCCATCTCGTAAGTTGACAGGATTGGTTCTTTAGGTTTGTTGCATGTGGAACCCTGGAAGTCTGAATCTGTGTTTTTGTGACGGTCACTTTAAGGTGGAAATGCTTAGTTTACTCATTATATGTCTCCCAGCAGAAGAACTAACATCTTATGGACATAGCACCCAGGTTGAAAACTTTTCTTCCACCAGAGGGGGGCTTTAAAAACCCATCAGGGTGATGTTTCTTCACTACAATGACTACAAGAACTGCAGCAGTCTGGTTTACTCACAAATGTATTCAGCAAATTAGTAGTATGTGTGTAGGAGATCACTGTTCTTTTCTTTCTATGCCGCCTCAGTCCTAAACGCTTTCACTTTTGCCTCGCTCCTCCTCTTCACCTGCCTCCTTCCATCCTCTCCTCCCACCTCCACTCCACTCCCCGCCTCACCTCCCCGTCGTTTTCCCTCTCCCCTCCTTCCTCCCATTGCAGCAGCTCTTCTCTCCTCCCCCTTGCTGCTCTCAGCTCGTCCCTCCCGTGCAGCCTGTAGGTGGCACAGAGGCATGTAAATTGCCACAGAGTGCAGCAGAGTGAGCTGAATGCCCATCTCTGCTCTCCAGCCGTCATGAATGACTCCGCTGTCGTATCCACTCCGTTCCACCGCACTCCTCTTCAGCTTTCACTCTCGGCTCCTGTCCTCTCCTCACCCCAATGATCTATTTTCACCTTCTGCTCTCTCTCCATCTCTTGCCACCCTCTTTCTTACCCCTTCCTTCCTTCTTCCACTCTTTTCTCCCCCGTCCTGTCCTCTTGGTGCTAGTTGTCTGACTTCTCTATTGTGTATTAATGACATTTGTACATGTGGACAGGAAGATGGGACGACAAGTCATTACAAAATGTTAATGACAGAGATGATCCTGGTTGCATTTTCTCTGTGAAAAGATGAAAAGCAGCAATGAATTAGTTTATCTCTCACTATTCTGAGACCCGTAGCACATAGGTGGTACTCTGCCTTAAGCTACAGATATAAACGTTTAAGAACAAGCTGAGAATATAATTCACTCAAACTGGAGGAATTCAATGGGGAGTATTCCAGGTGTTCTATCTAATGCGAGTAAAGTTTAAACAGCAGGATAACCAGACTTGGCGTTAACAGTGTAACAGGGTGGGTCCTTGATGAGTTTTTTTATGGTTCGGACAACAATGGAATTCTAAGGAAAAGCGGAATAAACTCTATCAAACTTTGATTACACAGTAGGATAAAATCATTGTTGGAATTTGCTGACATTAATGACAATGTAGAATACTGCCAAAGTTTCTGTGCAGTCGTGTAGGAAAATCAATGTATCTCACGGAAATAGTTTTCAACATTTCTGAACAGTAGCCACAGATAAAGGTCGTACACTCAACAAATGAGACATTAAATTGACATTTTGTAGTCGTTTTCATAATGAAAACAAATAAAAACTGATCAGTCACACAGAAAAAGCAATTAGGTACGACTGATTAGAACTTCCTGAGAGAATGACAGGTGGAATGTGTTTTGTAGAACCTCTGACATTCACCGACCGGCGCCATCGAGGCGTGTGGTGTCGTTACGCCAAAGAGCTCTCTGAGGTCTTGACGAATAAAGAAAAGTTGTGGATGATTTAAAAAGATCTGCAAATTAAACTTCCACTGATGGGAAAATCATGCATAAGTAGAAACAAATGGTCGCCCTAGAATATGAATGAGTGAATCTCCAAGAGCCTCTACTTTTTGTAGGGCTTTACTCATCCAAAGAGCACCTTGATCAACTGATGTCACACCAATTCTTCAGCCAATCGATTGGTCGCTGGGAACAAAAAAGTCTGCATGTTACCCTTGTGCACTGCAGGCACCAGCTTTTATGTTGATGTATAATTCCCTTAGGCCAATCAGGCTAGGTGAATTATACATAGACAGAAAGCATAAACTAATTTATTCTGGAATGATAACACCAGACCCCAAACTAAAACAATATCAACCCATGATCCATATCGTTTTTAGATGTTATACCACACCCTTGAGAATAGGGTGAGGTCCGTTTCGGCCCCAGGGCCTCTAGTCATTTGCTTTACCAGATAAAACTGCAAGGGACGCTGAGCGCCAGCTATCCTGAGGGAAACTTCGGAGGGAACCAGCTACTAGATGGTTCGATTAGTCTTTCGCCCCTATACCCAGGTCGGACGACCGATTTGCACGTCAGGACCGCTGGTTGTTGAGGTGTGAAACATAAGCTGCTGTTTGTCGATTTTACACTCGACTCTTTGGGCGTCAGTTGCATCAAACTACACCGATGACTTCTCTGACACGGTGTCAGTTGGTACCAAGCAAAAGTCCAGTAAAATGAGCCAGATCTAGCAGAGGTTAGGCAAGTTCAAACAGAACAGGTTGGCGGAAGAGCTAGTCTGTTCCTGCTAAGAAGTCATTGATTAATCCCTAGAAGGCTATCGAAGAAGCGCTGATCAAAGTAACGCTTTTCCAACCCGTGAGAATTCGGCCCAACGGGAGCTTATCGACCAATCGATCTGGAGACCGCAGTCCGAAAAATGTCATCACAGTACTTGCAGGAAACTCGTGCAACTGTTGGTGTCAAAGTGCATGCGTCTATGATGAGAAATAAATTGCACACGTTTGACCTGCGGGGGAGGCGTGCTGGGGAAAAAAAAAAGCCTTTGATGCAACAAGAAACATTAGATCAAAATCTCAGCTTGCCAGTGAACATGTACTGCAGGAAGGTATTGGGCCTTTTGGAATAATGTGTTCTGGGCGCATCAGATGTGTCTAATATGTCTGCAAGCTGATGTCAGGGACTGGTGGACAGTTTTGCAAAAGACGAAGGCCAAGGGTGTATTTACTTTTACCGCATTTTACAGATTTTTTTGTCTTTTTTGCTTTATGGTGTACTTTTATTTGCAGGCGCTGTTTCAGATGTACAGTTTAAAAGTTTACACAGACTTGTAAAGACCATGTGTATCTTGACACTCTTGAGTTTCCAATGACTCCTGTAACTCACTCCTGTTTCTTTGTCAGAAAAAAAAAACAATCATGCTTTTTGTTTTTTTCACTGCTTCATTATAGGTCTGTAGGTATAAGACAAAATCTGCTGGTCAGAAATATACAAACAGATGTGTTAATGTTTGGGTTAATGTCCCACTGGTCAGTCTCAGTTTGGTGCTTTTGGTAGCCGTCCACAAGCTTCCGGCAAGTCTCTGGTTATACCTTTGACCACTCCTCTTGACAGATTTGGTGCAGTTGAACTAAAGTTGATGGACAGTCCACAGGTTCTTGATAAAAAAGTTCGGGAAAGTCAGCCTAAAAAAAAGCATTTCTTTACCACTTTTGATGTGTGTTTGGGCTCATTGTCTTGTTAGAACACCCCGATGTGTTCAAGACCCAACTGTCTGGCTGAAAACATAAGGCTTTCTTCATGAATGTGGAGGTAATCTTCATTATTGTATTTACTTTATGTGCAGGACCAGCTCCAAGGCCCAGAGCATGATACCACCACCACCATGCCTGATGGTAGGTTTGGTGTTCTTGGGTGTTAAAGGCCTCATCTGCTCTGCTTCAGACACTTTTCTAGTCATTTTTTGGTTAATCTTGGTTGACTCTCTCAGCAGCAGGTGATAACTTTGGTTTTCCTCCTGATTGTAGCAGTGACACAACTGTTAATACGTACAGTATATCCAGCATATGACGTTAAAACAAAAACACAACCACATTCAAAAACAATTTCTTTTTCATGTGATTGTTATTTACTGTTCAAGTAATTGCAGTTCTGAAGGCAAGGTCGAACCCTAGATTCAATTAGGTCACGGACCACATTCAAACTTAAATCGAATGCTTCTTAAATATAAATATAAATGAATGTATTAAGCACAACAGGGGTCCACGTCTAATTCTAGATAAGTCTGATTGGGAGTGTGCTATTTTTCTTTTAATTAGTTAGCTCGTATGTTCTGTGCTCGTATTCGTGGACATACATGAAGCAAAAAATAGAAGCAATTCGCACAAAATGAGGCCGAGGGGAAGTCAAGTGGGTTAGTGAAACAGCATGTGGCGCACAAAGAGAAGAAATTGGTTAAATCAGCGAACCTCTGGATATCACCACTGGAGCAGAGCTGTGCTTTAAGCTAATGGAGAAAGTTGAAAACAATGAAGCGCCCAGACATCACGGCATGCAACCTCCTCTCAGAGTCGTCCGCATCTTCCCCCTACTTTTATCCTCCTCTCTTCCCCCCCACTTACGCTCACGCTGCCTCCCTCTTCCCACCTTTATTTTCTGCTTTTCATCATCTCACCCTCCTCGCTCCCTCTGCTCCATCCCTTCGGTGTGCGGCGCTACCTTCATCTTTACTTTTCCCCCCACCTTCATGTGGTTTCATCTTTCATCTCTCCATCCCCACCTCTTCTCTGCCTCCTCCCTGTCTTTCTCCCCCTTCTCCCGTTTTCTGTCCGCATGCCTGCCCATTCACTCGTACACTCTCCTACCACCTAATGGGGTGCTGTTGCTATGGTAACGCGGGGCGAACATGCTTGCATTCCAGTATGGGAAAGACGATAGCTTGTAAAGTGTCTCTCTGTCTTTTTCACTCTGTGTTTCTCTTTTGCACATTACCTTCTGTCAGATTCACTTTTTGCATGAATTGGTGATGGCAGCAGTTGCAAAACGAAGTGTGTGAGACGATTTTAAACAAAGAAAAAGACAACAACAACACACCTAAGAGAAGTGAGACAACAAGTGTGTATAAACCCAGTCATTAATCTCATATTCAATAATTAAATGGTGCATGAAAACCACACATAAATGCATATATACACTAGATTTACATGCAGATGAATGCACACACACTGAACTTTCAGATTATTATTCCACAGCTATTGGCCAATATGCAATCACTGTTCTTTGAATTTTTCACTCAGAACAGTAGAGAGAGATCTATTTTCATATAAATTCAAAAAACTGGCAATTATTTCTACCACATGTCCATTGTGGAAATATAATGTTTGCTCAGTCTATAAGTGCTTCAAGTCCTTTTCTTAATTTATCAGCTCATTCTATATCGCAGCTGACAACTAGACTGTACTCAGTTGTGACTTTTAATTGAATTTTCATTAGTGAAGTTCATTTGTTGTGCAGCTGTGGGTGGTCAGGATGGATTTAGCCGGTGTTTGTGGGCCAGCTGTTGGAGTATTTCATCCTTCAGCTTCTTAATGAGAGTCTGAATTACTCTGAAAAAAGTGATCCTGGGTCTCTTTTCTTCTTTCTCTGGAAAAGAGATTTTGCTCAATTAGTAACAAGTATATGTTTATAGCTTCACATTTGAATGCAACTTTGAAACGTTTTATGGGAGCGTGGGTGAATATGATTAAGATTAGCTCTGCAGGTTGTGTTTAGGACAATAAAAGTAGAACTGATTATAGAATATCGACACCTGAAGCGGAGGCTTAAATTAATATGTTCTATCCATCCATTATTTATACACCGCTTAATCCTCACTAGGGTCGTGGGGGGCTGGAGTCTATCCCAGCTGACTCAGGGTGAAGGCAGGGGACACCCTGGACAGGTCACCAGTCTATCACAGGGCTACACTTAGAGACAGACAACCAAGCACACTCACATTCACACCTACAGACAATTTAGAATCACCAATTAACCTCAACATGTTTTTGGACTGTGTGGAGAGAACCCACGCTGCACGGGGAGAACATGCAAACTCCACGCAGAAAGATCCCGGTGCCCCCACCGGGACACAAACCGGCAACCTTCTTGCTGCGAGGCAACAGTGCTACTAACTGCACCACCTTGCAGCCCTGTTTTCTATCTAACACAGGAAATCATTTCCATATCTGTTCAGGCAGCCTCCTTCTTGATAAGCACACAGCGTATTGTCCAGCCAGCGGTGTGTGAGCATTGTCATTCAACAGTAAAATTACAGGCCTGCATCTTTTCTGAAAGGAAATCTCTCTGGCTTTTTAAAAACTTTTTTTTTTTTTGTCTCTCTCCAATTTCCTTCCATCTTTCTCAGTTCAGCCAAGAGTCGGAGAGAAATGAAATAATAGCACTTTTCTTTGAAAGCAAGCCCCTCAAACAGATTCTTGACACTAACCACAGGATCAATTAATCCTCCAAAGCCTTTTATTGTGTCTCTGAACATGATTCAAGAGAAAACACTTTATTTATTTCCATCTGACAAGCTGTCATCTGACACTGAGGTCAAGAGGTTTCGATTAACCAGAGTGCAGTCATTAACTGTAGGATGCAGCAATGTCGAGTAACGCCACAGTTTAAGTTATCCGTCAGTTATTTGAAAATTGTGATGCAGGAACATTTCTTATATAAATGATGCTGTTGTTGGTGTTATGAACGGCAGCCATGATGAACTGATGTTTGCAATTTTAAAGAAAAATAATGTATATATATGATAAATTAAATCAGTGAATGCTAATTTAATATTTTATCGGTGGCACAATTGTTGAATAACACGCTAGCAGCAGATAAGAGGCTGTTTTGCAGCCTTTGCTGTAAAATAAAGGGAATTTTTTTGTGTGTCAGGCTTGAATGTACGACAAAGAAAATACATTTCGTGTCACCTTTCTGTCTGGCACTTCTGCCACCGGCTGATGGAATGCTGGCTTTCCCCGAGGTTTTCACACCACAGAATGGATCAGTATCAACCCTCCTCCACTACCCACATTTCTGACTTGAGGGGGGAAGCAGACAATCCAGCCCTGCAGGTTGAGCAAACTGGCGTATTAACTCTCAAATATAAATCCTTTTGTATAGTTTGCGGGCAAACACACGGTTAGTAAATCAATCAGATGTAACATCATTAATCACTTTTGTAGAATTACCCAAAGGTAACCACTGAAATGTTGACAAGTTAATGTATTGTTGTGATTTCTGCTGTTGTTATGCAGCCTAACAGAGTGCCACTAACTGCACATTTAATGGAGTTCAGTGTAGGAAAAATGTTAAAAAGTGGTAACGTCACGGCAGATTGGGCACCAAAAAATAAAATAAAGTAATAGAAAATAACCATACTATAAAAATACAGGAAGTTTCTAGGCTTTATTTGACACAAAATTGTAAAAAAAAAATGTTTAATTGAAGGATACTTAGATGTGTAAAAACAATAAAAAATACCTACAATATACCTATAAATAGATAGATAGATAGATAGATAGATAGATAGATAGATAGATAGATAGATAGATAGAT